GTGTTTAGGGTTGTTATCTTGCTGCATGAACCACATTCTCTTGAGTTTTAACTTACAGACAGATGTTCTGACATTTTCCTTTAAAATTTACTGGTATAATTCAGAGTTCATTGTTCCATCAATGATGGCAAGCTGTCCTGGCCCAGATGCAGCAAAACAGGCCCAAACCATGATACTACCACCACCATGTTTCACAGATGGGACAAGGTTTTTATGCTGGAATGCAGTTTTCCTTTCTCCAAACATAACGCTTCTCATTCAAACCAAAAATATCTATTTTGGTCTCACCCATCCACAAAACATTGTTCCAATAGCCTTCTGGCTCGTCCATGTGATCTTCAGCAAACTGCAGACGGGCAGCAAAGCTCTTTTTTTTTGCTCTTTTATCCTTGCAACCCTGCCATGCACACCATTGTTGTTCAGTGTTCTACTGAGGGTGGACACATGAACATTAACATTAGCCACTGTGAGGGAGGCCTTTAGTTGCTTAGAAGTTACCCTGGGTTCCTTTGTGACCTTGCGGACTATTACACGCCTTGCTCTTGGTGTGATCTTTGTTAGTCGACCACTCCTGGGTGGTATATTGGTGGCCATATGCACCAATATACTGGCATTAACACATGATGGTGTGGAAAAAAAAACAAAAAACAAAAAACAACATGAATTCTGATCAGAACATTTTCATCAAGGTCACACAGCCATGAATCGGATATGTATCTGATCTATGACTACATATGAAAGGCTGTTCACATTACCAGACTTAAGTGGCAGAAATAAGTTTGCCTTAATGTGACACAGATCTGTTTTCAGAGCTGTACGAACTCACAAATCTGATCTTTTCAAGATATCAGCCACTTTGACATAGGATACATATTTGTGGCCATGTGGCCTCAATGAGAATGGCTAGATTGGAATTCATGTGGGATTTTTCACTGTGCATGCACCATCACTCAGCAATTACTCTGGCAGAAGTGCGCAACCTGAAGTTAGTGTCAGTAAATGCCGCAAAATCAATGTATGCAACCCTTTTTTGCCTTCTTCTTGATCTAATAATGAACAGCTGATGTGATGAAGGCTTGTTTTTTTGCGATGAAGGCTTGTTCTGCTGGTTAGTTTATTGTTCATGACACACATGACATTATGGATTAGAATGTGCGCATGCAGGTAATTTCAGGACACAGGTTAGTCCACATTTGAGTCACTTACCCACATCAATGTTGAAGATCAGACCTCAGCAAAAAAATCAGAATCAAGCAATGAGGCTTGTAATGTGATCATAGCCAAAGTGGCTCAGATCTGTTTTGAAAAAAATCAGATTTGCCTGTTCACACAGCTCTGATTTGTGACCCACTAAGGCAAAAAAAAATCTGATTTATGCTATTTCAACCTCGTTATGTGAACATAGCTGAAGTAGCACAATTAAATTTTTTTGCCTTAATGTGACAGATTTCCGAGCTATGTTGATATGCAAATGCAACATTTTCAAATTAGATCTGAGCTGCTTTTATATGTAGGGCTGGATCGGATCCAAATCCAATTCCATCTGATCTCGATGAGAACGCACAAATCAGAATTCATGTGTTTTTTTTTTTCCTCTATGTATGAAATGTATGCAATGGTTCGCTCTTCTGCTTAGTTTGTTGTTCATGATGCATGTGGTTCATTCATGTAACGTTATTGATTAGGACGTGTGCATGCAGGTCATTTCAGGATGCAGGTTTGTTCACATTAACCACAGATTTGAGTTACACAAATGTAAACCATGAAGTTGGACTAGGTAAATAAAGCATACTGTATTTGAACACTGCTGTTGTTAATTTACAGAAATAGAATGAAGGAATATAAATTATTTAGTGTGAGTCATGTTGTCTCTAAACATGGCAAAGAACTGCCTACTTTAACAGGAAGGGGCTGTTTAGCTGACATGCAAAATAATCAACCACAGGCTACTGTTTTTGTGTGATGTGTAAGAGAGAGCGATTTTCAAAATGGGGCTACAACAAAACCACACCCCGTGGAAACAAAGCGCTGTCAAAGATGAGGATACTGGCTTACTAGCTTCGAAATACTTAAAAATTATTAACAGTGTTCTTTAATGATGTGATGTCATGATCATCATATCTTTGCCTGGAAGACTTGTATGTGAAAGTTTGTAAATCGAAAAAGCTGTGATGAGGATGCAATGATTTCCTTCTACCCTTGATTTTAACATCACTGAATGTGTGCAAGATTTCTTGGATCATGAAAAGACTTTGAGGGAATTTGGAGATGAGGAGAAATTTCTTTGAAAAACTATTTCCCAAAAAAGGAAAGGTGTAATAAAGCCAAAGAGTGAAAATGTTAAATAATGAAAATTGTGATATTATGTTTAGTTGTTGTGTGTAATTATCTGTAAATGTATGTTTTCTTTTGTTCTTTTACTAATGCTGAAAAATGAATTAGTACAATATCTTGAAATAAAACTATTTTCACTCACAAAGAACTGTAAAATTTAATGGTTAATTTCTGTTCCACAAACATTTGCATTTACTTTATTGATTGTTACTGTTCTAATTATGGTAAACACTTCAGATTTAGGATTGCAAATTAAAGATTAATTATCTTGTTAAAAGTCATTAACTACTCAGTATTTATATTAATAAAGTGTTTTTTAAGTATTAATTATTATTTAGTTACTTACTAAGTAATTCTTATTTGAGTACACTTTTAGTCTAGTTTGTCATTGGTTCACAGCTTGATTACTCAATAACTGTACATTATTGCTGCTTATAACACTGCTAATGAACTGATAAGTCTGTTCTGATAAAGTGAACTAATTCATACTTATGAGTTAGTACTTTTAACCATCTGTTATTTAATTAATTCATTAGTTAATTAATTGTCAAGTGATTTATTGATATATTTTTTTCTGCACTTTGAGGTCTTGTGTAGACCAGTTCTTGAGCTTTTCTGGACAGTTTCCTTCACCTCCACACATTCACCTGCCTCACTTTCCTTACAGCTGTCTTTGCATTTTCACCATTAATTACTCCTGACTTCACATTACTGAGCCATTCATTACTACTTTCTGTGTCCCTCCAAGTAAAGTGACACTATTGATTTCTAATATGCTAATTATACTACAAACTCATGATTAAGGCTGTACACACTTCACTGTTAATCACAGTAGAAGCTTAAATGGACATATTGGTCACATCTAAAACAAACGTTGCTTATTCAGAGGCTTATATAGATGGTTCCTCTTATAAGCTAAAAAATGAAATATGGACATATTGATGGAATCGGTCAATTTTAAGGTGTCAAAGGTTCTTTCTGGAGTGAGACCAAGGAAACCCACTCTGGGATCCCTAAAGAACCTTCAATTGGATGAAACATGGAAGTGTGAGGGATTTATTTTAGTTTAACATAAAACCTGAATTGTTTTTATTCCTGTTTGGTTTATAGTGTAAATCATTTAGAATATACGTTCATCTCAAATATAGATTTTCCACTTTACTCAAGGGGACACAAAAACAAGTAGAGAGAAATTAAGATGTCAATAACTAGTCAAGTCTTAATCATGAGTTCGTAGTATAATTAGTAGTAAAAATCGTAACTTCACTGGTAGGGACATAAAGTACAAATCCATTAATAACAATAAATCATTAGATTAACAGATAATTAACAGGACTCACTCATAAGTGCTGGTTACTTCTGATGTTACTTTTCTATGTGAGTAAACACACTTATCGGTTCATTATCAGCGCAATATGAAGCAGTTAATACACAGTTAATGAGTAATTAATCAATTAACTGAAAACTGCTAAATGTTAACAATTTACTTAATCACTAATTACTCAGTATTTAATCAATAACTTAGTGATAGTTAATGTTTACTGTACAGTTATCTAATATAAAATCATTCATTTTATTTACATCAAATTAACACATAATTTGTGAACTTTAATGCACCCAAATGTATGTTAGAATATCTAGTTGAACTAGTGAAACTGTTACATTACAGTAAGAGGCAGCGTTTCAAATTTTACAGTTAAGGTAATCACATTGAGATTAAAAGTCTCTTTTACAAGTGAGCCCTGGCCAAGAAGGCAGCACACAAAACAATCAACACCAGCAAAACAAACAAAATCAAATCCGAGTCAAAACCAGATTAAAAACAAGAACAGAAAAACAGAAAGACACAGTTCTTTAACAATTATCTTAAAATCACTGAAGGAAATAAATTCCTCCAATTTCAAATGTTTGTGCAGATCATTCCTTGCAGAAGGAGCACTGTGACTAAAAGCTGCCTCACCATATTCAGACTGTACTATCAGAACGTCCAGCTGAATGTAACTATTAGAACATAAATTGTACCAAGACTTGTTTGTTGATATGCAGCCAAATATGAAGGAAGCTGACCAATAATTGCTTTTATAGACAAAAATTGCCCAATGAATTTGTCTTGGCACTGAAAGTGACATTATTTAGCAGGTTGCTCAATAACGCCTGTTAATTAACAGGACTTTTTACCTTTTTTAAGAATAGTTGGCATTTATTGGCAGTTTTGACCAGAAATTGAGTGCATGAAATTTGATTTCTGACTTCTGCACAGTATTATAACTTGGAGGCACATCTGTCTCATGGACTCTACAGTGATTAGATGTGAGGAAAATGTTAAACATTTCAAAGAGACAAACAACAAAGAGATCTAAATCCATTACCTTAAGGACATAATGTTTGAAGGATATTATAATGAATGATTTCTGTAATATATATATATATATATATATACAGAAATCATTCATTATAATATCCTTCATTTCATTGTTCTTGAGTGACTATATATAACATAATTAGAACAATTGCAACAATTTGAAATATTGAAACAAACATGTTTTGCTCATTCTGTAGGGCATTGCATATCGCTGCTGTCGAAAAAAAAATACCTCGTATCTCCAAAATGATAACTTTACAGGAGAAGGAAATAACATACTTTGCATTAAATGTAAATCAATGGAACCAGAATTTTTTCAAGTCATGTTGGGCTGTTTGTTGTGGTCCATTTATTCTGAAATTTACACACAATGTAAATGGCAACAGGCGTTTTCAAGTTATGTCAAAAACCGAAAAGATGAAGACGAGGTTTTGTTCCGACAGCAGCGATATGCCTTATATTCACCTGATATTTCCTGAACACACAATATTTGGCAAGCATTGCTGTTTTTATGCATGATGCCTAGTTAAGTGTCTTTTTTTGTAACTTTATCATGAATGAGCTTTGCCCCTGCTCCCACTGCAGCTACACTTCCAGCAGCCACTGCTGCAACTGGCAGCACTACTGCAACTTCTGTAGCAAGAAACACACCTCCTGCTACTATTCCTGCTCCACCTACTACCATTCCCACTCCCAGTGCAGCATCTTTGGCTATTTTCTTCATCCAGATCTTCCTTTGGATCTTTTGAAACATCTCGTTAGTGTAGTGCTTTCCTCCGTTCTCCTCCACCATTGCGTCTATCTTCTCCAGCAGCTCTGTGACCTGATTGCGGTTCCAACTATCTTCATTGTTGAACGCATGGTATCTTCCACCACAGTCGTCAATCAGGTTCTGAAGATAACTGCTTTTGTCGATAAAGGCATCCAACGGTTTGCCCTTCAACTGGTCAGCATTGGTAAAGAGAACGATAGTGTAGGCCGAGGCATCTTCTCCAAAGTTATCCTTAATCCATTCCACAGCGTTCTTCTCCTCCTCTGTGAACCTCACAGCGAGACTGATGACCAGCAGGAACACATGAGGGCCAGGAAGTGACTGACGGATGCAGTCTTTTATTTGTGAGGCTATCTCTTTTTTCTCCATTGACCCAAAGGTCCCAGGGGTGTCAATCACCTTGATTCTCCTACCGCCGTAGTCCCGACTCTCGGTTCTGCACATTTCTGTAACTGGTGTAGGTGAAGGCTCTGATAAGAATACATTTTCACCCAGGATGGTGTTCCCAGTCATACTCTTCCCTGCTCCAGCTTTTCCCAGAAGAATGATTCTCAATTCAGGGTCTGTGAACCAACAAATATCAAATGAACATGCAGTCAGTGATTCCGAAATGCTGCTGAAGTGTTATAGCCCAGTTGTGAGCTCATCTCATGCTGTAACTCTTCATAATGGTGATTCAGTGCTAAAAGGCTTTGATCTGGCACAATTGTGTGCAGAAGTGTTGGCACCCCTAGTCAGATGGCATGTTTCATTGATTTTCTAAGTGAAAATATGTCAAAGCATCTTCTACAGAGAATACTTCTCCATGACTCAGAAACAGTTGAACCTATTGACATATCAGCAAGTAACCCCAAACTCCACTCAGTATCCTGATGTGATATCTGTTCTGATTCTCCATTCTGTTTTGGTCCAGCACTTCTTTTCATGTTGATGATCAGACCACCACCATTCATCAAAAAGTTTGGCTAAAAGGAAACTATTTAAAGGCCTGTTTTCCTGCCTATCAGAGTTTTAGCACTCAGTATGGACCTAAGAAGAGGATAGGAATTCAGTCTACCAATGTCTGAATTCTGAAATTGTGCAGTAAAATTAGCAGAAAAATTTAGATCTGTTCCCAGTAGAGGATGTGTTCACTTATTTTCATTATGAAAATCAACAAAACTTAGCATTTTACCAGGGGCGACCAAACCTTTTCATATGACTGTATATGACAGTCTTCCATGTTTCATCATGAGTGACACTGCACCTAAATTTATTTTTGGGTAGACTGGACATGTCTTTCCATATGAAGTATACTTCATAAGACTATGGTAGCTCTTACGTACAGTCAGCTCCATAATTATTGGCACCCTTGGTGAATATGGGTAAAAAGGTTCATGGTGCCAAACAGGGATTGCACAAAGTACCCAATGCAGAAATGTAAAAAAAAAATGGAGATTTCTATTTAGTGTTGTATTTAAGTGTTAAATTGACTTTTTATTACTTTTTTACCCATTTCTGCCAAGAGTTCCAATAATTATAAAGCTGACTGTAAGTATTAAATATCTGAAATAGTGTACTGTGTATGTTGTTTGTGCATGAGGTACAGCAAACTGCTGTGGTGTTAGTTTAATTTAGTAAAAGTTTTGCCAGCTAATTTCTGCTTTATCTGTCTACATTACTGCAAATATCAAGTAGTTTATTCATAGAAAAATTTCATATGTATTAGGCAGCAGATGAGACATCTGTTTTATCGTCTGAAAGCAAGCACTCTGTAATGAAACCAAAATTATATTTAAAAAAGAAATTCAGCAAAAATCCTACGACTCTTATTAAGAGAGGCAGTGTAATCATGTATGAGAGGAAACCAAACATAGTGTTAAAATGTCCACAAGGAAACCTAAATTACTGCCAAAGCAGAGATTTGAACCCCAATCCCCTACATACGAGGCTGTAACATTACCCACTATGAAGTCATTACTAAAAGCTAGCAAGGGATGGAGCTACTTAAAGGTTCCACAGAGCCTGGCATATAGCCATGATTTTTTTAATGACCACATGAACTTAGCTTTACTGGTTGTTAGCCAACTTAATGCCAACTTTGTTGCGTAAAATAGCCACATTATTCAAGAGATTGTCAATGTTTGGTCAGTGGGCTTTTCAAAACCGTCATTACTAATGCATCTGTGACAGCTTGGTACTGGACCAGAGGGGCACCCAAGAGCAATGAAGCTTGTGCAACCCAAATCTTTAAGTACAGCCATACAAACCGCAGTTATTGTGAATGCTGACCAAGAGGGTACAAGCTGAGGGCAAACAGGAAGAGACTCCTAATTGCAGGCAGAATGCATCCCAGTATATTGGGCCAGTTCGGAAAGGGAAGTGTTTAGGTCATTGTTAGTGCAGCTCAGTAGACTGAATAAACTATTTTGCATGCCTCTGCTGTGACTGTAAGCATAAGTTGATTTTGAGGACTGATTGTATGAATATTTAACTAGTAAAATAAGTAAAAGGGCTAATCAATTTGAGGACATTAATTAAAACAATGAGACCTGAATGCAAAAAGCATTAAATGAATACCATATAGTTGCAAGTGGCAATTACAGGGGTCCAAGGGGTCCCCTTGATCCCGCTTAGGAATTAAGCAACAGAATCATGACAAAATAACCAAGACAAGTTTAGTTCAGGTGCTAATCATCACAGGCAGTGGTCAGAAAGAGGCAGGCAACATCACAGCCAAAAAAAACCAGGTAAATAATGCAAGAGTCAAATGCAGGAAACCACATAGAATATGGCTCAGAACTCAGGCAGCACATCAAATACAACAGAGGCAAAAGGCCAAACAAAAGTGGTATATGTAGAGGTTGTAACTCAGTCCATAAAGTACTGCATATATTTCAATATACCAATGAATCTGGACCTCCAGAATACAGGGAAAAAAAAAAAAATTTGAAATGTATTTCCTTTTTATTCAGAGCAAACATATTAAAATTCTCAGAGCATGTAGTAATCTGAATGAGAAGCTATTAGAATTTGTATTCTTTATCCAGTAGTAAACAGATGTGGAGATGTATCAGTGTGGCAAATGCTATTTGCCAGAGCTTCTCTCTGTGTGTGTACTAATAATTATATTATCTATTTAATAAGAGAATATGATGAACCAAGACACTTACAGGCTGTCTTAAGGTGGCTGGAGACTAAAAGTTTAAAATGATGGAGTGACACCAATGAGCCAGGTTTTAGAGACTATTGTAGTACATTCCAGCTTACTGGTGCTCTGTAGCTAAAAGCAGATTCTCCTAGTTTAGCAAAAACTCTAGGTACCTGACAGATGATCTAGTCTACTAGAGTGGGTCTGATACTTACTGTTATTTATAGAGATCATAAATGAGATATAAGCTGGCATATGGCTGGAGAGTGATTTATAAATAAATTAAGTTAGTGTGTTTCCCATTGTGCTGCTAGTGAGGGCCAATCAACTTTATCATGCAGTCTGCAGTGAGGAGAGCTGTAAGGGTCACCAGTAATGAATCGCAGGGCAAAGTGATAGCTTGAGTCCAGTGGTTTGAGGGTATTGGCAGATGCATATTTCTAAGCTACATCACCATAATTCTGTACTGACAGTAAGGTTGCCTCCATGATTCTCTTTCTGATATGCATAAGCAGACAGGATTTATTTTGATACAGGAACCAGAGCCTCTGTCTGTACTTGCTGACTAGCTTATTAATATGAATATTTAAATGTAAGCTTCTCATCCAGCCATAGGCCGAGGTACTTATACTCAGTGACTCACTCAATGCTGGATCCTGTCAGGGTAGTAATATTCAGAGTATTAAAATCAATATTTGAAGACTTGGGGAACAGTATTTAAAACTATTATGTGCTTATATAGAGCATTCTGTAAGGCGTTAAATGAGCACTGGAGTTTTTCTGTTGCTGCATGAGCAAAATAGTTTCATCTGCGTACAAGTGAACTTTGCAGTCTGAGGTGGAGACAGCAATATATATATATTGATTATGGTTACCCAGTACCACACATTGTTTTCCATCTGAGGGGTCATTTTGGGCCCAATGCATTGCATTATTGTCAAATCATTTGTAAGTTTCCCAAAAAAAGGCTGTGGTTGACAGTGTTAAAAGCTTTTGTTAGACCAATTAAAAAGTCAGCACAGTGCTTCCTCCTGTAGAGGCCATGTAGAGATCAATTAAACTTTAATGTGGTCACAAAGATGGTACTTTGTTTTTCTCTAAACCCAGACTGACAAGACAGAATCTTTATGAAGAAATAATTTGAGTTAGCTATTCACTATAGATTCAAGCTAACCATGACAATTTTGAAATTGGTCTATAGTTATTTAGATCTGCCAAATCTCCTCCTTCAGGCAGCGGGATAACATGAGCTGTCTTCCAGTTACTGGGAATTCTACAAGATAAAATAAAAAGGTTAAAAATGTATGTAATATGTTTTAAAATAACCAGGGTTGTAAGACACAGGAAATAGGGGTCCAATCCGTCCTCACCAGTAGTTTTTGTGGGCTGATAGCAGTGAGAGCATTGGCCACTATATATGAAGATAAAGACTAGTAAAATTTTGGTTGGAATAACAGAGTAGATGTTATTGAGAGAATTTACTGCCTTCCAGAAATGTTAAATGTTGAAAGAGTTGGTGAATAAGCTGAGATAATGATCTGATTTGGCATTTCTGATTGCAGAGGTACATTTATTTATTGCCTGCATGTAAGCCAGTTCTTTCTCTTGTCCCCCCGGCAACAATTCAAGCTTTATTTATTGCTTTAACCAATGAGGAAATTTCACGAGTAAAGCAGGGACCTATCTCTTGTTCTTAGTGTTTTGTGGGGGCATTTTTGTTTACCACAAGAAAAGCTTGTCATTAAAATTGATAAAACTTGTCCTGATAGTTGAATAAAATGGAAATAAATAATCTGTCCTTCAGTGGGAGTCAGCATAATGCTAAAGCCCTCAGCTTCCTCTGCTGGTCTTGGGGTTGAGGGCCTTGCCAAGCCATGGGATTTGAACCTGCAACCTTCTGTTTCTAGGCTCACCTCTCCTACCACCAGACCCCTGCTTTGTTTTATATATATATATATTTTTAATATTAAAACATAGGTGTCTCTGAAAACCACACAGGTTCACCACCCAGATGAATGAAGTTATTTGTGGATTTGGAGATGGATAGCAATCAAAACCCTCCACTCTGTCATGGAATCTTCTAAAATTCAGCAGACACATCTCCTGACCAAAATATATCCACGTGTTGCTAAAGACCTGACCTGAAAAGTCCTGAAAGATGAAAAAAAAACAAACAAACAAAAACCTAGAAAATGCGTTTCTAAGTTTCAGTTCCACTTTATTTTCTTTGCCCTTTATTTGCCAAAAACAGCCAAACAAGATTTCTAGCATTGCTTGCATACTCAAGCTTTGACCAGCAGGGGTAGCTATTTTTTTTCCCTCTTACCCTTTTTGAAAGCAAAAAGAATATATATATATATATATATATATATATATATATATATATATATATATATATATATTACATATTTCTCCCTGTGCCTTGACAAGTACATATTAGAGACAAA